GAAGGGAGAACCGACGATGTCTCAAATGTAGAAGCCCAGAACACTATGCCAGCAACTGTCCAAATGGAGGAAACACAAGGAACAATGTTAGAGGATCTCCAAACCCGTATGGCTCACCAATTCCTAGTGGATCAAACTCGATCCCAACTGGATCTAAAGGGCCATTAGTTCGAGGAATGGTGGTGACCTTTGAAGAAGAGGGAAACGACTACCTGGCCTAAGTGATGCGACCACTTGCGGCCAGGATCTAACGGAATCGCAGAAAATTCAAATACCAATAGATCTCAGTAATGACTTGGCCATAAGATATATATAAATACAAACAAAAAAAGATACCCTACAGATTGGAATGTTAATCGATACTGGTGCTACAGGAAGGTATGTGCAGCCGGCCTGCCCATTATACCATCTATTCCCAAAGAAACAATATCAAGCACCACGAAAGATCAGATTCCTGGATGGAACTACCGCGACGTCAGTAACCGAATATGTAGAAGCTGAAATAGATTTGGGAAAAGGACTCAGGATTGCAACTCGACTAAATGTTATGGCCTACGAAGGACCTGAAGTACTAGTAGGATTAGATTTCTTGAGACAGTTTAGGGCAAGGATTGATTGCGGACAAGGACTGATCGAATTTGACGGAATTGGACGTGATACTGGTTGGAAGTACCCAAGACTAGAGGAACGGCACTGGAGAAAGGGGAAGATGAAATGAGCGAGGAGGAACTACGATGAGTCATACCGACACAATGGCACCAGTACCTAGAATTATTCAAGGTGGAGAGAGCAAGAAGACTACCACCAAGAAGAGAATGTGATCACGAGATTGAGTTGACACCAGGGGCAGAACTGAAGCCCGGCCCAATATACCAGCTAGACGAACATGGGGATGCTTTCCTAAAGCAGTGGATCAATGACGGGTTAGCCAGCGGACACTTGCGAAGAAGTAAATTGCCTTATGGGTCTCCAGTCTTCCTGGTCCCCAAAAAGGGAGTTATTCCCTATCGAGTGGTAACAGATTACCGAGCACTTAACAAGGTAACAGCCAAGGACTCGTACCGAATGCCGCTTATCTCGACATTACTCGATCGACTTCAATTGGGAAGGGTGTTTACCAAACTCGATCTGAAAGGGGCCTATCAACTAGTCAGAATAAAGGAAGGAGATGAACATAAAGCTGCTTTACGAACAAGATATGGTAGTTTTGAAAGCACAGTCCTAAGAGATGGGTTGTGCAACGCTCCGGCCACCTTCCAAAACTTCCTGCAAGACATGTTTCACGACCTGTTAGATGAAGGAGTGGTAGTTTACATAGACGACATCACGGTATACTCGGACACGATCGAAAACCATCAGATAATCGTCCAGAAGGTATTAGATCGACTACTTGAAAACGACTTGGTTGTCAGTCCGAGGAAGTGTGAATGGAGTTGCAATGAGGTGAAGTTCTTGGGGTATGTTATCGGACACGAACGAATCGAAATGGATCAAGGAAAGGTGAAGGCCATTCTAGAGTGGGGAGAGCCCATGACAGTCCGAGATACTCAGGTTTTTTTAGGATTTGCCAATTTCTACCGACGGTTCATCAAAAGGTTCTCACATATTGTGGGTCCTCTTACCCGGCTAACCAGGAAGGATCAGGCTTGGAACTGGACAGAGGAGTGCCAAAAAGCTTTCAACGACTTAAAGAAAACATTCACCACAGCGCCGGTACTTCGACATTTTGACAGAACCCGACCGACATGGATCGAAACTGATGGATCTGACTGCGCAATAGGTGCGATAGTGTCTCAAAGATTCCCTCACCCAGCGATAAAGGGTACCACGGAACTCCACCCGGTTGCTTATTGGTCTCGAGCAATGACACCGTGCGAATTAAACTATACGGTGGGAGAGAATGAATTACTAGCCATCGTGGACTGCTTGGTAGCATGGAGACCCTATTCAGCAAACAGTAGTGATGTAATCAAGGTCATTACGGATCACAAGAACCTAGAGTACTTCCAAAGCAAGCGACAACTGAATCGAAGGCAAATGAGGTGGTTGGAGATATTAGGAGACTTCAACATAGAGATCACCTATCGACCAGGTAGCAAAAATGGGGGAGCAGATGCTCTAACTAGAAGAGGGGATTATCACCCAGGAAGAGGGAGTAGCAAGGACTCAGACCTAAACAAAGGTAACTGGCTACAATTGCTACCAACAGACAAACAAATTGGATCGAATTCAATGGACTCAGAACACAAAGAACCAAGACACATAGTAAGAGGAGCAATCCGGGAAGACTCACTATTTGGACTCATCAAAAACGGACTGAAAGACTCAGAAGACATAGCAAACATACGACGACTAGGAATGCAAATGACTCAGATACATAGCACACAGGACACACAGAGGACACAGATTAGCACCGAGACACCAGTAGTATCATGGACACAAAGCGGATTACTCCTGTACAAAAACAGGGTAGTCATACCAGAGGGACAAGCTAGATTAGAGGTAATGAAAGCAAGACACGATCCGATATTAGTAGGACACCCAGGAAGAGTGTTACGACCCTGTCACTCTACAACCTATTCGCCATCATCGCCTACTTCGACAGGCTCGTAACACCTACAACACCTTACAACATCTCTTCAACCTATCAATCCACAACTCGCTACATCCTTCATACTTCACCACCCTGGTGTCACCGTCGTCACCCTGACATCACCCCGCACCACCCCGCACCACTGTGGTACAGTACGAGCCATGGTTGCACCACTACGAGGCAGCCCGCACCATACTGGAGGAACCTGACGCCACTATGGGTCAGCATGGGTCAGTACGGGTCACCCTGGGTCAGACTGACACCACCTTGGGTCAGGCTGGCGCCACTACGGATCAGGCTGGGTCAGCACGGATCAGCATGGGACGGGACCATTCAGGCTGGCGTCAGGATGACGCCGCCCGGAGAGGTGGCGCTACACCGGGGGACCAAATGAAGGAAATATAAGGAGCACATTTTGTCTTGATCCTCTTCAAGGATCAATCTATCATAAGTTACAAAAGTTACAAAGTTACTTCCATAGGCCTTACATAGTCTTGACATACATCTTCGGTCTACTTCGCTTCGCTCGCCGACACTTTGGGATCCTTCGAGCATACCTTCGGTCGCATCGTCCTTTCGACCACATCCCTTCAATCTTCGAGCACATTCTTCGATCTTTGACATCACACCTTGATCCCTCCGATCTCAATATCTCAATCTTCGACCACACAAGTCTAGTGGTTGTGCAACTTCGCCTCCGCACAACCCGAGCTCGCCGATTACGACTTCCGCCGTCTACTCGTCGCTGGCCCAAAGGCCTGCCAGGTTCGAGTCGTAACAAAGAGACAAGACTATCACCATGGTCAAAGAGGACTATTACTGGCCACATTTGGATGATTATATTGCAAAATACGTAAAAGGATGTGAGGTCTGCAATCGACATAAGACTCATCGACATCAGCCATAAGGACATCTAGTCTCTTTGCCAGTTCCCACACTCCTGTGGACAGACATCTCCATGGACATGGTGGGACCTCTACCAAAATTGACCGGGTTCGACACAATTCTAGTAATAGTCGATCGACTGACCAACATGGCTCGCTTTATTCCATGTACGACCGGACTGACAGCGAACAAGGTGGCCGACATATACATCAAGGAGATCTTTTCGAAGCACAGAGTACCTCGAACAATTGTATCAGATAGGGGAACTCAATTTACAGCTGAAATTTGGAGGGAAATATGTCAGTTCCTGGGAATAAAGAACCTATATTCAACTGCGTATCATCCTCAAACAGACGGACAGACTGAACGAGTAAATCAACAGATGGAAATCCTACTCGGAATGTATGTGAACTATAACATGGGCAATTGGGATCAACTTCTACCAATTGCTGAGTTTGCTCATAACTGTTCGCCACATAGTAGCCACGGTTTGTGCCCCTTTGAAGCATGTTACGGCTATGTACCGCACTATGACATCCATTCACACGATATTCGATCAAAGTCGGACAAACTGGAAAGAAAATGCAAAGATATGGGAGAGCTACATGCCGCTGTTCAGGAACAAGTCAGAATGGCTAATGAAATTAGTGGGGAATACTACAACAGGAGACACAAGTGCATTCCAGAAGAGTTCAGAGAGGGAGAACAGGTACTACTGAGTACGAAGTATCTTACTACAGAACGACCTAGTCGAAAATTGGAGGCAAAATATGTTGGCCCTTTTAAGATCATAAGGAGGGTTGGAAAAAATGCCTTCAAATTGGATCTACCTCCATCAATGAGAGTACACAATGTTTTCAATGTCACGCTATTGGAACCACCATACTCTAAAGACATAATTACAGGACAACAGATAAAACCTCCACCGCCCGTAATAATTAACGGCCAGGAGGAATTCCATGTGGAAGCAATTGTGGACAGCAGAATTCGACGAGGAAAGGAAGAATTCAAGGTAAAATGGTTAGGATACACAGGAAATGCGGCCTATGACTAGGAACCCCGAGAAAATGTAGAGGAGCTTGCTGTTTTTGACGAATTTTTGGAAAAGAGGGAAAGGGACCCCAGAAGAAAGTGAGAGTTCGATCAACATCGACAAGACTGGGTCAGGGATAAATGCATACACAGGAGATGTAGCTACAATTGGAGTAATATAGACACACTAGTTAATGGAGGCGGTGGAATTGGCTCGGAAACGACGGGCCGAAGTGGGAATACGAATGACGTTGCCAGGACGAGGAGTATGAGGAGAGGAAGAGGGTCCGGCGACTGGTTGGGAGGAAGTCAATCCGGTAGGACCGCCAGTAGAGGAAAGATGATCCAGAGTTTCAGAAGGAGAAGGAGGGACATAGTCCGAAGGAATGAGGTGAAGGGACTTATAGAGACCCAGATGTACTGGGGGTAGAGGAAGTAGAAGGGAGGAGAAAAGATGAATGTAAGCGGAGAGTTGGGTAAGGGAAGAGGATTAATCCTGGGAGGAAAGGGATCGATAACGGGCCGAAACGGCGCAGAGTTCGTGCTCCAGGACGAAAGTTACCTCGGAAGTGACCATCTTTGCTCCGACAGTGATACCCTATACATCAACATCGACCAAGTTTGAACCAAGAAGATAGATACCTCACGGAATTTGGCCTCAGGATTGTTCGTCTTCACCAAACACTTCAAGGTTCCCATAGCAGAGCACTCGCCGCATACACCACCGACTGAACTGCGTCAATATCGAACAAACAGTAGCAGAAGACTCACGAGGACCAATACAACCAACACAAAATCTTCCCCGCCATCAAGGCGACGCTGGAAATCAGAACAGAGTTCACCCTCTAGACGAACAACAGCGCCACTCTTGTTGCGGAGACGCCAACCTTGGGCCAAGCGATCGAGCTAACGATTAGTTTCGATAGAATTTGGAGAGAGGAATGAGCTCACCGCGTTCCCAAACCACTTGACAGTGGGTTTGATGGCGTTGGTCTCGCGAAAACGATCAAGAGCTTCGTCTTTCAGAGCGTCACGAACAGAATTGAAGGTCATTTTGGCCCAAAGAGTAGCTGACAAGTCAGAAACGGACAGAAGTCTATAGAAATCTCACCAATTTCGGAGTCTTTTCGAGCGTCCAGAGCCTTCGCAAGTTCATCATTGACAGGAATCTTGCGAGGGGCGTGAAAAATGCCTTCGAGTTCATGGGGAACCTCGACAAGATCGTCTGAATAGTCAGAAGGAGGCGCAGTGGGCTTATTACCAGGAGATTTTCGGTTATCAACGATGGTACCGTGTTCGGACTCGACAGAGTTAGCAGGAGATGGGTTCTCACCGGTGGCGGATGGCCCGGCACCCCCGTCGAAGTCGATGTATTGCTCGATGACCTGGTCATCGAGGAAAGACGGTTGTTGGTCGAGAGAAGGAGCGGATTGATATCGATCCTTAATGGTGTCGAGCGTTCCTCGAGACGCATCAACCAACGGAGGTTGAGAAGGAACGGGCGCTTGGGAAGTAATTCTCATTCTTTTTGTTTGGCGCATGAGATGTTTGGGGTCGACGTCAGGTAGGATTGCCGTAGTAGATGCTCGAGTTCGGCGGGAAGAGGTGGAAGGAGACAACTTAATCTCGTCAGCCAGTGAGAAATAGGAAGAAGTACATTGAGTTCGAAGGGAATTGCTTACAGTGCGTTTAGACATGCTCACAAGCAGACAAGAGGTGGAATGATACTCTGAGATATAAGTAGAATATGGATGGATAATGATAGGTAAGTAATAAAGAGCGACAAACAAGGTAGAAAGAAGGAATGAAAAGGAAAGAAGAGAGAGAGAAAGGAGATAGACTTGGTCAGTAATTTCTCAATCACACTGGAGGTCCGTGCGGGTGACGCGTTTCATGGCAACCGTCACACTAGCATGGGTGTGACGTCAGGGCGCACCAAAGGTGTCTCAGAACAATCCATGTGAATCACCTGGTTACAGGATTCAGGATCCTCGGCGAGGATCCTTGAGACAGGGGAGGAAACTTGTTACAGGGTAACAACGAATCGAGAAAACTCTATTGAGCTTGACGGATTAGGATGGAGGAAAGCGGGAGTTGGAGGCAGTGCTGCATTAGGTAGGGACGGGTTTTCCCTTTTCGAGATTTCCCCACTGGGTTTGCTCAAAAGCGGTTTTTCACCTGTCCAAGTATGTACATAGACGCTTGCAGTAGGACGGGAGTAAGACACGGATACCTGTAGACAGTATATAGTACAATCAGCAAAGTACCAACTTTGCTGATTCTTCAATATCATTCTTTGGCTACATCGATTGCAGAGGAGACACAATCCATCACATAGCACCAGAGACACATAGATTTCTACGAGACTTCCATCGAGTTCGACCCAACCTGCGACCTAGTCATCGTGTTTCCAGTACCGTTACAATATACTCGTCCATCAAACCGTAGGAAACCTCTTACCGACCACGACGGATTCACAAACATCCCGTGTCCTGTCCGTCGTCGAAATTCTTCAACTTACCTTGGCTCCTGATCTACATTCGGGGTGAGAACACTCAACGCAGATGAATGCTAACATCCCTTCCCGAACTTCGTTTATTTCTTCATCAACTTCATATCCTTTAACAATGTCCTCGCCTTCAATCCGATCTTCCTCCCTAACTTCTTTTGTTCCTTGTAAGGCCCGGAGTATGTGTCTCAGGCTTGATTCAGTAACCTCTTCCGGGTCGAACTTTGGCAATCCTTGGACGAAGTCCTCCTCCTGTTCGGTCGTTATTCCTTTTATCCCAGGATGATAGTCCGGTCGTCTTGACAAGGCATCTGGCAGCGTTGCTTGTTTCCCGGGACGGTAAACCAACGTAAATCTGAAATTAGCCAGTTCTTCTACCCACCTACCTTGCCTAGGATTCAATTGTTTTGGGGCCATCCAATATGTCAGATTAAGATGATCTGTCAAGACCTTTGTTTCTACCTGTAGTAATAAGTGTCTCTTCCTCCTGAAACCTTTGACTATTGCTAACAACTCCTTTTCCCCCGTAGTATAATTCAACTCAGCACCCTTAAAAGCTCCCGATTCTATAGCCACAGGGTGTTCCCTACCTTCTTTATCAACCTGTGAGATAATATATCCCCATCCAAAGAACGAGGCATCTGCCTGCATGATCGTTTTCAAAAAGGTGTCGAAGTGAGCTAGCACTGGAGCTTCGCATAATTTCTTCTTTAGCACTCTGAACGCCTCTTCTTGCTCAGTTCCCCATGTGAAGCTTACATCCTTGCAAGTAAGGTTGTTCAGAGGCTTTGCGATTTTTGAGAAAACCGGGACGAATCGTCGATAATAACTGACCATTACCATGAAACCTCGAAACTCTCGTAAATTCTTAGGTCGAGGGAATTCCTGTACAGCAGCAACCTATTCTGGATCTGCCGAAATTCCTGAGTTTGAAACCACATACCCAAGGAAAACCACCGAACTTTGTTCGAACTCACACTTAGCCGCCTTCACAAACAATTTAGCTTCCCTAAGTCTTTGAAATACCTTTACCGTACATCTCCTAAGTTCCTCCTTAGTCTTAGCATAAATCAGAATGTCGTCGATGTACACTATGACTCCCTCCACTAGTAAATCCCTGAAGATGTCGTTCAGGAAGTGCTGGAACACAGCAGGCGCATTTTGTAGACCATCTCTAACTACTAACGATTCGTACATTCCGTATTGTGTACAAAATGCTGTCAGGTATTCATATCCTTCAGCAATTCGTAGCAATTGATATGCTCCCATCAAGTCGAGTTTTGTAAAATAGTTTGCTGTACCTAATTCCTCAGTAATTTGAGTGATCAATGGAAGGGGATAAACGTCTGGAATGGTAACTTCGTTTAACTTCCTATAATCCGTCACCGTCCGCCACTGTCCTTTTACCTTTTTGGGAACCATGAACATAGGTGACCCATAAGGCGAGTTACTCTTTTGAATTCTACCAGCCGCTACCTCCTTCTCCAGAATCTCCCTTAACGCTTTTCTCTGATCTTCAGCTATCGAGTACAGTGGGGCCACTTTTAACTTCGCCCCCTCCACTAGGTCCAGTCTCATATCGTAACTTCGGTTTGGAGGTAACGTCTCTCCTCCTATCTTAGGATTAAAGAGATCCAAGAAACCATGGTACTCAGAAGGTACCAACTCCAGCAGCTCTTCTTGTTCTTCCTCACTAAGTTCGTCTTCCAACGCCGAGTCTCTAGGCCCTAAAACCTCCCCTTCCTTGAACCCAAAAACTGCTCCTAACTTCTCCCCCTCTCTTTTCTGTCTACCCGGGATCTTTATTACCTCCTCCCTAACATCCAGGACCACTCCTTCCTTCTTCATCCATTCCCATCCTATCACCACATCTGCATCGCACAACTTTGTGACTGTCACGCGGCACCGCGTGACATCATCTTTCCCCATCAAATTGGACATCAGTTCGCCATCAACGATCCAGTTCTCATGAACTTCATCACCTACGAGGGTATTAGGAGGCTAACCTCGTCAAGGGCAAAGTTAGTCATGGAGGAAGTTAGGGAGATACGAAGTTAGCGAGATGCGAAGTTAGCGAGATATGAAGTTAGGGAGGCACGAACTTCGTCCCCGACGAAGTTCGCAAGGTACGAAGCTCAGGACTTCAGGTTGAACAAAGTTCTGCGTTGAAGAAGTTAGGGAAGGACAAAGTACTTAAGGGCCAAAGTTCCCAGAGATCTTTGACGATCTCTGGTTGTTGTCTTAGTGATAGAAGTTAGTAAAGTACGAAGTTATTACACCCAGAAGTTATTGTCACCTATTTCATATTTCAAACAACGAGGTAGTTAAAGGTCGAAGCCACGAAGTTATTGGCCGTCGGTCCTAGCAAGTTAACGAAGAAACAACCCTGTGACAGTGACATCCAACCGAATCATACAAACTTCGTCCCCAACTGACACACGGATCCCTGTTTCAACGAACTTCGTGATGGGGCCACCGATACTTTCTGAAACATCGAACATACGTACAGGTACTTCCTCTGGGTATCTGATAACTTCCAATCCTAACTCCTCCACTGTTTTTGGGTTTATATATGAACTGGTCGCTCCCGAGTCCCATAAGGCAACCACCTGGGTCCCTTTTACGTTGATTTTAGTCTTTGGTTGCCTCACATTAGTGATGGGTATCTTGATGAAATGTCCGTCTTTGTATACACATTGTCCTGCTACTGTCAGCTCTTTCCTTGTAATATCAGGAGGAACAATAGCAGAGAGGACAGAAAATGGGACCCGCCGACATTCTCTCAAACCGACGGGTCCAAGCCTTTTCCCTCCTCCACACCTTCCCCTGCTGCTGCATTCATCTGCCTTGGCTCCCCCACCGCCACTGCATTCCCTCCTGTTCCTCTATTCCTCGAGCTCTTCCACATCTCCGGAGGATTCATTTTCCCTTGAGCTACCTTAGCCGCTACCAAAGGACAATCCTTCACATAATGTCCCTGACCTCCACACTCCAAGCACGCTCTTTCGGCTCTCCACTTTTCCCTCTGTTCGAAACTCGGCCTAGGGGTAAGAGGATCCCCTTGTTTCCAAACCTGTGATCCTGTCACTAAGTTGCTCCGGGTTACCGGAGGGAGCAACACCGAACCCACAGGATTCTTTGCGGGTGTAGTCAATAACTTCGGTGTTGATGGCACGAAGTTGGGTGTTCTTCCTCAGTTTGCTTTCTGCCCATTAGCCTGTCTCTCCACCCAACGTTCAGTCATCCTATTGTCCAACTTGATCACCACTGCCTTCAGCTCTTCCATGGTCACAATCTCCTCCCTCCGAGAAAGCTCGTCCTTCATAACTTCGTCCAATCCGTTGATAGCCTGGGCCACTAACATCTCCTCCTCACTCCACCCCAATATAGCAATATACTTTTAGAACTCAGCAAAGTACGCCGATGCCTTCCCTTGCTTCTGCTTCAGCTCCCTTAAACCCCTGATAGCCGTGCCCCTCTCATCTGGATCTCCGAAGTTCTTCTTCATCCATACCACGAATTCGGAACGTTTTGAAAGGAAAGGAGGAAGAGGATTAGAGAGTAAATGAGGCTGCACTGCCAGCAGTGCAACCCCTCGCAGGAACCCTACCATCCACAAAACACTGTGTTCCTCGCTCTTAAATCTATCCCTCATCACACTCAACGCCAACGAACACTGAGTTAAGAACCCAGTAAGTTTCTCTCTTGCCCCATCAAATTCGTTCGGGTCCTTCGGTTTCGGCGCTCGAGTCGACGAAGTTGTCGCCGATCCTTCTCTGGATCCACGATTCCCTCAACGAAGTTCGTGCACTATCTCTGTCAGAGCTTCACTCTTCTGGTTGTCAGCAGTCTTCAACTCCTTCAGAGCTCTCATCATTTCCACCAACATCCCATCCCTAATATCCTTCCTTGAATCTCTCCGGCGAATTTCCTCCCCTGGGTCGCGAGGTGTACGAACTTCGTCCACCAGTTGAACCCCCCTCTTCATCCTCCAATGTTCTTCCTTGACCATCCCCTTCCACCCACGGGTCCTCTAAGTATGCGTCGGAAGGTGGTTTGGTGAGAAAAGATGAATCCCTAGAACCGTGAGGTTCTAGGTTACCTTGATTTCCCCCTTGTTCGTTCCTCGACATTTCTTCAGCCGTACTTCTCTCTCTGTCCTTTCCTCTGGTAGTCTCCCACGAGCTACTGGAGAGTCGGTAAGGACGATCTCTGGTACTGTCACAGGGTTGGTTCTTCCTTTGTTTCCTAGGATTGACGGCCAATAACTTCTTGGGCTATGACACTTAATAGACTTGCTCTTCGTAGTATGGGTGGTGACAATAACTTCTGGGTGTAATAACTTCGTAGTCTACTAACTTCTTATCACTAAGACAACAACCAGAGATCGTTAAAGATCCCTGGGAACTTCGGTCCTTAAGTACTTCGTTCTTCCCTAACTTCGCCAACGCAGAACTTCGTTCAACCAGAGTCCCCGAGCTTTGTACCTCGCAACTTCGTCCCTGACGAAGTTTGTGTCTCCCTAACCTCGTATCTCCCTAACTTCGTATCCCACAAACTTCATATCTCACTAACTTCGTATCTCACTGACTTCTCACATGACTAACTTTGTCCTCGACAAAGTTAGCCTCCTAATACCCTTGTGGGTGGTGAAGTTCATGAGAACTGGGTCGTTGATGGTGAATTGATGTCCAAAGGAACTTCGTTTGATGGGAAAAGGATGATGTCACGCGGCGCCGCGTGACATGGAGATTTGGTGAACGATGTTTTGTTCAGATACCAAGGGAGATAAGGTTGAAGTCGAACTTCACGATTCCTAGGGGTTCGTCAGCCATCATATTAGGTCAAGATGAGGGTGTGAGCGGTTGGATCGTTAGAATGGATGGATCGGGACAAATTGAACACTCACAAGACGTTCATCGCTCGACAGGACAAATGGTGACGACTAGAGAGTCGCCAGATGTCATCCAAACCCCTCTTGACGCCATTGAAGTTGACCTAGACCCCGTTGTCAACGAAGAAATTTTCCCTGACGACCTCTCAGAAAGTGGCGAACAGGAAAATCTCGATCATGAACAAGGAAATGATATTGAAAGAGATAACCCACCTAATACAGGTCCACAACCCACTGAAAGACGACGAGGACAGGGCATCTGGGGAGGAAATTGGATCTATGAGAACGATATCGTCGAAAATGAGAGAAATGATGAGGAAGGAAGAAATGATGGGGATGAGGGGATCCTGACGACACGTCACGGACGAATTATTCGACCCCCCCCCACTGTTTTGCAGGCCTAACGGACTTGTTTCTGGAGTTTGGTCGCGAGCCTAATAGGTTAGTCGCACTCGCCTCTATCGCAGGTATTGAAAGCGACACTTCTCTCATTGATCCTGTCTCTCCTGAAGAAGCAGTAAACGGCCCAGATGGTGAAAAATGGCTAGAATCCATGGAGAAAGAGATATCTAACATTGAGTCTAAAGAAACATGGGTGGAAACGGTACTTCCACCGGGTCGTAAAGCCATAGGCTGTAAGTGGGTATTTGAAGTGAAGACAGATTCAGAAGGAAACCTACTAAAGTATAAATCCAGACTAGTAGCTCAAGGATTCTCACAGGTACCAGGTGTCGATTGCAAAGAGACATCCGCACCTGTTGGTAGATCGGGGTCGTTACGAATACTCTTGACTATAGCGCCCACCGAAGATCTCGAAATTTGTCAGGCCGATGTCGAAGGGGCGTATTTAAACGGTAAACTCGATGTCAAAATTTATATGAAGTATCCAAAGGCGATAAAGCCAAAACCTGGATGTAACACCTTGAAGTTAGTCAAGTCTCTTTACGGGTTATAGCAATCCGGTAGAACATGGTGGATTGAACTCGGGGAAGGATTATCTCACCTAGGTTTCTCAAGAATCGAGTCAGATTGGGGTCTTTACTACAGCCCAGAAGGTAAAATCCAAGGAAAGGGAGCAGCAATATTGCTAGCCTATGTCGATGATCTAGTATTAGCCACGAAATCAAAGGAGGAAGCAAAAGAAATTTTCAATGGGCTAGGGAAAAGATGGATAATAACCGACCTGGGGGAGATAAGTACCATTCTAGGTATGAAGGTAACAAGGAACAGAGAAGAAAAGATGATATGGTTAAACCAACCAGCATATATCGATAAGATAGTTCAGAAATTCCCTGAAAATGACTTACATCAAGACCGAAAAACGCCATTACCCCTTACTGCAAAAAATCCATCGATGTTGGAGGTGGAAAGTGATATTCGACCATTTCAAGAGTTGATAGGATGTCTACAGTGGTTAGCCACTTGTAGTCGACCAGACATATCCTATGCAGGCTCATACCTTGCTAGGTATCTAACCAAACCGACAAAGAAAGTGTGGGAAGAGGGAATAATGGTAATTAACTACCTTCGGTCCACTCGTTTACATGGTATTCGTCTCGGTGGCGAGGCTAGCGATCTAGCAGGATGGGTTGATGCCGATTGGGCAGGTTGTAAAGACACACGACGATCAACTACAGGCTGGATATTCATGATGAATAACTCACCGATAACATGGAGTTCCAAAAGACAAGCTACAGTATCGTCGTCAACAGTTGAAGCAGAATACATCACAATGGCTGAAGCAGCAAAGGAGGCTCAGTGGTTGAGAGGACTACTAAGAGAGATAGGCTATGATCAGTCAAATCCTACTGTTTTAAATTGTGATAGTCAAGGATCAATATCACTAGCTAGGAAACCTGGTACTCACCAGAGGACGAAGCATATCCATATTCGACACCGTGCTCTTGGAGATCTAGTCAGTAACAAAGTTATCGAACTAAAATACGTCAACACTGTCTCTCAGAGAGCAGATGTACTCACAAAAGCTTTAGGTGGACCAGTGCATTCGGTGAATAGGTCAGCGACACGAGTTGAACCACCGAAAAAGAAGAATATTGGTTCAGTATACGTGACAGTAGACAATGATGAAATCATTGATTATGATTACTCAGATTTTGAGGATCTAGGAGACCTGTCAGGAGGTACAGAGAACGAAGTAGTACTAGAGACAGGTGTATGGGTGGAAGGAAAATTGGTGGAAGGAACATCAGAGAAACCCACCAAAGGAATGGCTTTCATTAGTGTAGTGAACCTGGCTGTCCCCTACATGAGGAGTAGGTCCATAGTTCCCTTCCTCTCCCTTCTCCTTATCACCCATCTGATACCTATTGTAGTTTCTCCCTAGCAAGAATCCTATTCCTCCTATTCTCTTTCCGTAGACAAGTTGTTCTTCTTCTTAGAGGACTCCTAAACCGTAATAATCCCCGTACCGTAAAATATGGCGTAGCTGTTCCGTACTACGGGACCCCAATCATGTATATAAGCTGGGTCTGAGGGGGATCTCTTCCTCCATTGTCTTTCTTCTCCCATCCTCTTTCTTCATTGTCTTTCTTCTCACTTCTTCTTCTCCCTCCTTCTTCTCCTCCTTTTTCCTCCATCCTCTCTCGGACCCTCTTTAGTTTCCTTGATACACTCTTTACTGACCATTACTGACCTTTGATCCATTGTTGACTAGTATTATCCACATCACAGAGTTCCGACAGTATCCAGCCCTACAGGTAGGTTACATTTATTTATTTGTAGTGATCCTCACAAGCAGGATCATTACAATTAGCCATGACAAAACATTTTTAGATATACCCAAGAATGTGAGTAATTCTAAGATAGGTCAAAAACCGCCGGTAGAACCTAAAGTCATTAGAGAGATGAAACAGAAAAACAGGGAGAAGAAGGAGAGGATAAAAGAGAGGAAAGATGGGAGAATACATAACCAACATTCTAAGGAAGTTGTCTCCCCATAGTGTCACGAACCTCGTATCCTAGCAGATTCTCCACATGACGACAGGCCCGCTTGAGATCGTAGAGGATGTCGAAGAAAGGTGTGAATGCACCTTGACCAGCGTTCGATAGGGAAACCAACAGCCTTCAAAGGAAACAGATGTGTTGCATGGACGCCTCCAAGGTACAAATCGATATATCAGACAGTTCATAAGGTCAGAAATGATTTTCATGATAAAATGGCTAATGAACGTACCATGAGCCTCACCAGGCCTCATGAGAGGAGCCAATTCATCAATACCGTCCGGGAGAGGCAAAGACATGATGATTTTCAAAATAAAAATGAGAAATCTTGGGTTGAAAATGGATCTGTGAGATATTGTCAGCCAGAGACACGAAGGAAATTCATCAATTCTCGTGAGTTTACCACTAAACCTGAAGTTTTAAGAACTTGACAGGATAGAAGGAAGTTCGGTCAGAAATGAGTGATAAAAGTGGAGAAAAGCGAACAATGAACATACCGTTTATTGGAGGTAAAAGTGATGAAGTAAAAGGAAAGATAGAGAAGAGTGAGACATCAGTAGTGAGTGGTAGCCATGTGTCAGAGCGGGGCCCCACAGGGGGCCCCACAGGAATTCATTTCATGATTTCACCTACCACTACTACCACACACATAACACTCAACATTTCTGTTGCAGGGTTGGTTCTTCCTTATCTTCCTAGGACCAACGGCCAATAACTTCGTGGGCTATGACCCTTAATAGGCGTGTTCTTTGTAGTATGGGTGGTGACAATAACTTCTGGGTGTAATAACTTCGTGCTCTACTAACTTCTATCACTAAGACAACAACCAGAGATCGTCAAAGATCCCTGGGAACTTCGGTCCTTAAGTACTTCGTTCTTCCCTAACTTTGTTCAACCCGAGTCCCCGAGCTTTGTACCTTGCAAACTTCGTCCCTGACGAAGGTCGTACCTCCCTAATCTCGTACCTCCCTAACTTCGTATCTCACTAACTTCGTATCCTCCTGACTTCCTACATGACTAACTTCGTCGAGGACGAAGTTAGTTTCCTAATACCCTCGTGGGTGGTGAACTTCATGAGAACTGGGTCGTTGATGGCGAACTGATGTCCAAAGGAACTCCGTTTGATGGGAAAGGATAATGTCACGCGGCGCCGCGTGACAATTTCATCATTACTACCTTCTACATCATCACAAACCTCGCCGTCGCCATCGATAAATCGTCCGGGACTACTGCAGAGTCGTGCATTGTCCCGTGGGGGAGTGTTAGCCAATAGAATCTGGCCAGGACAGCCGAACCGCCGTCAGATAATTACCCCTTCCGTCAAATATTTCTCCGTTCAACTTATCCTCTGAACTTTATTCGATCGTCTGTGGTTTACTGCGTGTGAGTGGAATGTGATAAGTATAGAGACATGTAGAATCGATGCATGCTCTTTTTCCTCTCTGTATTACCATCTAATTATCAGCAAACAAAGAGGTAAGTGTTTTTGTATCTGCCAGTAGAGGAATTATCAGGAGATGTTAGTGAGAATGTCACTCACTCTCACACTTACTGACTGGAAATGGTCAAACACAGCTTCATTCATCGTTGAGTTCCAAAGCGAGCTTGCTAGGTAGATCAACTAACTAATCAATTGTATCTCAGATCCCCGAAAGTTGGTAGAGCAGACATTGTTCTTAACTGGTCAGGACAACACGATTCCCTCGTCATATTCCTCCGTGCTAAAGAGGGACTTAAGAGGTGGAGCTGAAAGTTGTGTATGTGACCGAGAAATGATCCACTAACTGACATACAAAATCACGGCTGAAACTCATTACGAATGAGAACCATTATGTGGTATGACGCCTTGCGATTACGATTCTCTTCCTTTTTACTCTCTCATACGTCCATCGTCGACACCTGTTTCGAATATATCATTTCTTTGAAATCACGTCAACCGTCAACACCTGTCTGAAAATATCATCCTTTCTTCCAATGACATCAATCGTCGACACCTGTTTCGAATATAATCCTTTCTTCCAATCACGTCAATCTCACTTGTCGCAGGAGTTATATGAACACGGAACTCGTCTCAAATCTCAACATAACTTCTCATCATGGACTTCTCAGACAAAGATACCAAGGAAACCCCTTACGCCGAATGCGTAAAGTATGATTCATCAGATCTTGGAGATGTTAAAGATCAAGCAACTAGTTCCAAAGATACGACTATCACCCCCTTGAATCGTATGTGGTCAAGTGTGAAAAACTCTGTCATCAACACTCTTCATTCCTCACCTTCTGATCTAGACCAACCTCACAAAGAGCAAGAAGACGGATTACTCACATTGATCAGAGTGAGTCAATATTTTACCCCCATCCCTATCCAACGTTTACGATCAGATGCGAACGGGTTACGAAGAGAGTGAAAGAGAGACTATAGCTAGATTCGGGACTAAAAAAGTCCTTTCAAGGGGTAATTGCACCTACGTCAGATCTCTAGGTCCCTCGACAATTGGTCTCCCTCAAAGTGTGATTAGTCTATTCAACAAGCCTCCTCAAACATCCAATCAACTTGGAACTGAATTACCAGAAGATGTATTATCACCTCTTTTTGAACTACATCACTTCCAACACGGATCAATCCCACAATCAAATTGGAGTGACTTAGAAGGATCCGTCAAACCTAATGAATATATCAGGGCGGAGTATCAAAAAGATTTAGAACTTTTGTCGGTTGATCATAATACCCTATGGCCAGGAGGATATGATACCGCTGTCAGACCTTTGGTCAAAGGGGATATTGATGCAATTTCTAAAGCTTTATCTAAATCCTTTTCTGATTTTGGAGAGAATGAGATAAGTGAGTGGATTTTGAGATATGAAAACAGATTTGTAGCGAGTTTTGATACTCGAGTTTGTACACCTGATGTGGTTCAGGATCTCAATGATTGGGGTAAGGCGTTGGAGGCTCTGGTTGTAGTAACCGTATAGATCCGTGTGATCATTCTCCTTCCTTCTACCATATTCCACCACATTCCACCACAATCTTCTTCTATCCCATTCCATGAGATTCTATGCTTATTCATCTCGTAGGTAGTTTGTAGATATAAACCTTTGTAGATAGAAGTATGCATCATCTTACCCTTCAATTGCCTTTCTACATTAGAGACGTTTTCGGTACCGATCGATCGCGTCTTACAACTGGTGGAGGCCGAAAAGAACGGTACAGTCATTCGGACACTTCAAGTGAGTTAAGTCACCAATTCTCATCCAACTACTCATCCTCCCCTTTCTCACAGACTATCTGATTCTCTCCTTACCCATTTTGTTCATCTTGCACAGCCAGCTCAAACAAGTCAACAATGTAACTGATCATCAGGAGAGTGCACCCAATACTAATATACTACCTCCTATTATGATTTTCTCTCCTCATGGTGATTCAAGCAAAAGCACAACTCTATCCCATTCAATCTATCAGAGAGATCCCACTCAAAATTACTTATCCAACATATTACAGGAGTATCTCTCAAACATCTTGTAAGTCCCATCCTCACCCTTTCTACGGGAAACAAATTTGACACTTATGACTTTTGATCATATCAACGCTGAGAACGTAACAGCTCGAATAGATCAATCACGTTGGGTAAGGGATGAATATGCCATGCTAATGTGTACACGACACACTAAGTACCAAAAGATTTGATCCATTTCATTCTTCTATCAGTGAAATCTCTGACTATATAGAAGATGAGATCACTCGCTTTAACGGATCAATCGATTTTTCCATTGCCACAATGTTCAAAGATAACAAGAGATCAATCAAATGTAAAGATATCGGAATTCGTCCTACAACACCTAGGTGGTCTGATCCTCCTTCGAAAAAAGATCCGGCAGAAGAGATTCTGATGCTTGGTAGATATTTGTCTCGTACTGGAAACATATCAACATTGACTGGACCAGTAAAAGAAGTTAAGGATGATTATCTGAATGTTAGAACATGTAGTTGTGATTCTGACAATGAGTGTGGATCCTCATCCAAGAAGGAGGAAGGAGACAAACTGTAGATCCTCGATGAATGCTCGATTCCATGACAGGAATTGAAGTGGTGAGTACAATTGAGACGTAGTAGGTGATTGGAGCAGGTGATGATATTGCATTCTTGGTCCAGGATGATGCAACAAGACTCTACATGGGCTGCATCATCACTGGCTCACTCTGCCGTATGATGTTCTAACCTCATTCATCTTTCCTCTCACCGCTCTGTGCCCATATCATCCTGTGACGTAGATCCTCAAGACTTATGCTTGTGATTTTGGGATTGCAGTCTGGGAGACCTGGACTTTCCAGTTCAACACCGGAGGTGTACGCTAGAGTTATGTCTTTAATAGTCAGACCAATTCTCTGTGCCTGATTGTCCATACTTGTTAATGAAGCACCAGTATTTTTTGACCCAGCCTCGACGATGTCCCATATAATTTTCTGAAGTTTTTTACCCAACGGACCGGTGAGTAGCTCAAAAATGTATCCATCAGCGTCGGATTGTCCATCTGACCCTCTCTGTCCAACGTTCTCACTAGCTCTCAGCTGGATTTTTACTCAATAACAATCAGCCTACCAGGCAGACATGAGAGTGTTCAAGTCATCAGTATCATCTTGAGTCAATTCTGGACCACTCAGATAGTGGAGTACTTCATAATGAAAGTTAGCCGCTCTAGATGATATCAGTTCGAGTCATGTCACGTTTATGGTTAGAAAAACTTACTCTAGACCTGTCAATTTGATCCCTCGAGCCCTGTTATCCAGGACTGTATTGATAGCATCACCCAAGGGATCTCCCCCTCGTGATTGAGACCATCTCCCTTTCCAGTGGGCTACAAGCTCTTGAACAGACTCGAGACGAGATTGAAGGCGGTTTGTATTGCTTCCGGCTTCAAAAGCCTTCCAGACCTTGTCTACAAGGTCAATGAAAGTAGGTTCTTCTCCACTTTTCCTGGCTTCAAACGAGAGGAACGCTAGTACGAGCGAACATGTTTTGTCTGATACCTCGGCAACGATTCTTGAACCTTCTGACCTGCTTCCTGTGAATAAGCCATCATAGCGCGTGACCGGTTTGGGTTTTCTGTTGCTTCTCCTGGGTGGTGTGGTGGTTGGCATGCTATTGGAAGAACGTCAAAGGATAAATCAGATGATTAGAAACCGATAAGGTGGAACGAGTGGCGAGGATATCTCGACAGATCCTGTCTTTATGGTAGATGCAGGGAGGTATTCAACTCCGCTTATCGAGAGGATCGAAAGGATCTATCCGCGGGGGAACCAACCTATCGATATCCGGATGCCCGAGTCGTGAGATGTCTCCATGGTAACCCGTTCCAGTCGGATCTAGAAAGGAGGTTCGTGAAGGACCGTGTTTACTACCTGTTAGCCGATAGGATCGGCCCAGGACGGCCGAACCGCCGTTATATAATTACCCCTTCCGTCGAATATTTCTCCGTTCAACTTATCCTCTGAACTTTATTCGATTGTCTCTGGTTTAATGCGAGTGAGTGGAATGTGATAAGTATAGAGACATGTAGAAATGATGCATGCTCTTTTTCCCCTCTGTATTATCATCTAATTATAAGCGAAAACAGATTAACAGTCGGAAGTTCACATACCTCTGTGTTCAATAAAGGCAAGTTCCTACTTCTACTCCTCTCATAATGACCTCTGTGTCGACTAAGATTTCGTTCTACGATCCATCAACGTATGCTTTGTGGAGGAAGGCGATCGAGGTGTATCTACAGATAGGCGACGTATGGAATGTCGTCTCAGGTAATGATACCGAACCTGGTTGCGAAGGGGTTAGGCCGGCAACTGAGAGGGCGGGATCAGTACCACGCCCGTCGAAGGGCAAGTGGTTGGTAGAAGGATTACTGGAGAAGAGTTGAAGGAGTGGGAAAAGTGGCAAGCGAGGGAGAATAAAGCGCAGGGGATGATCAAGGGAACAGTGACGGAAGCTGTAATGCTTGATTTATCTGAGAAGATGTCAGCTAAAGAAATGTGGGATTACTGCTTGAAAATGCACGTAACAGCCACAAACGAGAATCAGAGAAACGTCCGTCAAGCATTGTTTAGCTACAGTCGGGTCCAAAAAGTCATGCGCCGGCTCTTCCTAGTAATTTGGCTGGGAAAATTGGTGTGGGAGATTGTGGTTCACATATCTTCAACATGTCTGCATGCATGGGGGTCAAATCCTACCAAGATATCTGCAGGATCCTCCTCTACCAGAATATGCAAGTAGCTAAGCATTATCATTGTAGAAGTTTGTCTGGGAATCACCTAGAAGATCATCCAGTTTGGTCAAAAATCACGGTTTTTGGCCAAATTGGTCAAAAGTGCTTCTTTTTTAAATGATGGTCACAAGTCATTTTCAGTCACACATCCAGCTCAAAAGTAGCTCGACAGATATGGATTGGATAGATGTACAAAGTGTCTTATGACTTTAGCCATGCATATCCTAAGCTGAGTGCGGTAAAGCACATCAAAGTTGACTACCACGATTCACCTGCCAAATTACTATGAAAAGCGGACGCATGACTTTTTGGACCCGACTGTATGACTTGAGGGAGGATGCGACGGCCGAAGAGATGGCTAAGCATGTAGAGGATTTCTCGAAGACGATGGCTGAGGCAAAGTTGGTAGGGGAACTTTGACTCACAGGATCGAGCAGGTCTATTCCTCAATACCATCCTAGCACCACCATACAGGAACATCCACGTAGAACTAATGTCTGTACCCGAAAAGGACAGGACCTGGGACAAGGTATTGTCGGTCTTTAACGCAGAAACGGCGAGACGTAAAGCGCGCCCTGTTGGTAGGACCAATAGAAAGGGATTCACGATGTTCGCCGAAAGGGATAAAGGAATGAGGGTGAACCGAGATAATATCTCTGATGGTCAGCCCAGGAAAGAAACTAGGAAGTGTTATAACTGTGACACTGTAGGACATCTAGCGAAGTACTGTCGTAAACCTAAAAGAGAGGATACAAACAGGAAAGAAAACGCAGATGGAAAGGATGGAGGTAAAAAGAAATGGAGGAATAATAAGAATAATCAGAAAGGACATACAGTCTCGAAGGATGAGAACCAGTCCAAGGATAACTCCAAAGCCTCCTTGATGTATTCGTCATTGGATGGTGAACATGAGGCGTGGGCCGGGATGGCCATGTCGACAGAATCATGGTTCGATGATGACGAAGGGTACACGAGTAACATTGTATGGCCCGAAGAAATTGAAAACCCGTGGGTTGAGGATAATGAGTGGGTGGGATTAGCTACAGAGTCTAATGACGTGAGCCACACTCGTGTAATCCCCACCTGGGTAGTGGATAGTGGTGCTACTCACCACATAACTCCTCATAGATCGATAATGACCAATATTAGAAGACTAGTAGAACCGAGAGTGTTCGGACTAGCATCTGGCAAGTCAATGACGGCTTGGGAAACAGGTGACATTAATCTCGAACTAGATTCAGGACAAAAGATGGTACTGAAAGATGTACATCACGTCCCCACAGCAAAGATAAGTCTTCTCTCCCTTTGAAGTTACTCTCATGGGGATGGAAGGCAAATCTAAGCAGCGGTGGTGGATGGATAGGGAAAGGTAAAGAAAAACTAGGTTTGAGAAAACATGACTCACTGTGGTCGGTACGATTCGGCAGAGCGATGTCTGCCGCAATGATCGTAATATCGACACCGAAGGCGACTTCACCCCTTGAGTCTGAGCATCAGCGACTCGGACATATAGGTGTAGATAAACTAAAGAATGTAGATAAACTAAAGAATCTAGGTAGACAAGGACTATTGAAGAAAGATTGGGACACTTACAAGAATGATCCCTTTACGACTGATAAATGTCCAGCCTGTATGCAGGCCAAAATAACACGTCTACCGAAGAATAAAGAAGCACCAATGTTAAAAGGAGATGGTGAAGGAGTAGGAATGGATGTCGATATTACTGGCCCATTCGGTCCGGCGATAAAAGGTGAATGATATTTCTTTGTTGGTGTGGAAAGGGCGAGTCGAAATGTATTTGCTATACCAATAACGACGAAGAACGAAGCGTCTGATATCGTTCGACAGTGTATATCCAAATTGGAGAAACAGCTTGGTGAAAGGGTGAGGGTGATTAGGTCTGATGGGGGAGGTGAATTCGATAGTCTCGATATGAGGGAATTCTACCTATCAGCGAGGATCAACCACTACATCACACCAAGATACACACCAGAATTAAATGGAGTGGCGGAAAGGATGATATGTCCCTTGAAGGGGATGGTATCAACGATGTTGTTTGACTCAGGACTACCGAAAAAATATTGGTCCTATGCTGTCAGATACGCTGCCATTATAATTATGAAAACATCGATTGGTGTCAGTGGTAAATCAGGTTGGACATCACTCACAGGAAGAGAGACCAATCTTGATAGTGTGTGGAGATTTGGTGAACGATGTTGTGTTCAGATACCAAGGGAGATAAGGCTGAAGTCGAACTTCACAATACCTAGGGGTTCGTCAGCCATTATACTAGGTCAGGATGAGGGTGTGAGCGGTTGGATCGTTAGAATGGACGGATCGGGACGAATCGAACACTCACGAGACGTTCGTCGCTTGACAGGACGAATGGTGACTACTAGAGAGTCGCCAGATGTCATCCAAACCCGTCTCAACGCCATCGAAGTAGACCTAGACCCCGTTGTCAACGAAGAAATCTTCCCTGACGACTGCTCAGAAAGTGGCGAACAGGAAAATAACGATAATGAACAAGGAAATGATGTTGATAGAAACAACTTACCTAGTACAGGTCCACAACCTACTGAAAGACGATGTGGACAGGGCATCTGGGGAGGAAATTGGGTCTATGAGAACAATATCGTTGAAAATGAGAGAAATGATGAGGAAGGAAGAAATGATGGGGACGAGGGGATCGTGACAACACGTCATGGACGAATTATTCGACCCCCCCCCCACCGTTTTGCGGGCCTAACAGACTCGTTCCTAGAATTTGGCCGTGAGCCTAATAGGTTAGGCGCACTCGCCTCTATCGCAGGTATTGAAAGCGACACTTCTCTCATTGATCCTGTCTCTCCTGAAGAAGCAGTAAACGGCCCAGATGGTGAGAAGTGGCTAGAATCCATGGAGAAAGAGATATCCAACATAGAATCTAAGGATACATGGGTGGAGACGGTACGTCCACCGGGTCGTAAAGCCATTGGATGTAAGTGGATATTCAAAGTGAAGACAGATTCTGAGGGAAACCTACTAAAGTACAAGTCACAACTAGTAGCCCAAGGCTTCTCACAGATACCAGGTGTCGACTACGAAGAAACATTCGCACCTGTAGGTAGATCGGGGTCGTTGCAAATACTCTTGACTATAGCGGCCACAGATGTTCTCGAAATTCGTCAGGCCGATGTCGAAGGGGCGTATTTGAACGGTAAACTCGACGTCGAAATTTACATGAAGTATCCCAAGGGGATAAAACCGAAACCTGGATGTAATACCTTGAAGTTAATAAAGTCTCTTTACGGTTTAAAGCAATCGGGTAGAACATGGTGGATAGAACTTGGGGAAGGATTATCTGACCTAGGTTTTTCAAGAATCGAGTCAGATTGGGGTCTTTACTATAGACCAGAAGGAAAAATCAAAGGAAAGGGAGCAGCAATACTGCTAGCCTATGTCGATGATCTAGTATTAGCCATGAAATCGAAAGAAGAAGCAAAAGAAATTTTCGATGGGCTAGGGAAAAGGTGGATAATAACCGACCTGGGGGAGATAAGTACCATTCTAGGTATGAAGGTAACAAGAAACAGAGAAGAAAAAACGATATGGTTAAACCAACCAGCGTATATCGATAAGATATGTCAAGGATACTGCCCACCCTGGGACAGAGGACAAAGGACAAGGGGACAAGGACTAGGAGTGACAAGGAATATACTTAAGATAACAAGACTGAGTCCAACAAGGAATGGGACTGTGACCCAAGGAATGTCTCTGGCTTGTCTTACAAGGTTGGAGGGAACTGGACTGGACTGGACTCCAAAAGGGTGGCAATGGAAATGACTTTTGATCAAGAACTAAAGAAGACTACAAAGTACAAGATAGGGTTTATATAGACAAATCAACCTTTTCCAAGAGGCTCGTGCAGACCTGCGGAATACGAGCGCTCTGAACCGTCCTGCACTGTCCTGCATGCATTGCCTTGCATCCCACCGATAACCACTGATATCCTACGATGCCATATCTGCGTTTACCTACGTCCTCCTATGACATCCTACGGGATGCGCCGGAAGTCGCTTGACTTTGTCGAAGTTGGTCGATGAGGAACTATGAAGGACTATGCAGAACATAGAAGTGCTGCGAGAACAAGAGACTGAGATATTATGCCTTAGCAGGCATTAGAACAGAGGAACTAGAGACTAGAGAATTACTGGGGACTTATGCCTTGCAGGCATGGGAGCTAAGCACCGACATACTAGAATGATACTTGGAGTTTATGCCTGATAGGCATGAGAGCAGAGGTGAAATATTAAAACACGAAAGTGGAGGTTGAACTTGTTTTGCGCAACAAGGAACACGTGATGGCGTCATTCATGACAAGATAGTTCAGAAGTTTCCAGAAAACGACTTACATCGAGATCGAAAAACGCCTTTACCCCTTACTGCGAAAAATCCTTCGATGTCGGAAGTGGAGAGTGATATTCAACCATTTTGTCATACATCACCTACTTGCCACCTAAGATAGTCTTTTCTCATGTTCCCACACTTGAAACACATCTGGAACACTTCCCCTGACCCCCTTTGGCTTAGGTTTATTGTTCTTGATCTCCATCAACAATCCCTATTGTCATCTCTTACACTCCCACACATGAAACACCTACCCCTGAACCCCTGTGCCCTTAATCTATTGTTCCCCTGTGTGTTCACATGCTTGACACACTTACCCCTGGACTCCTGTGTCCTCTGTCTATTGTTCCTTGTCGCACACATGAACCTGTAACAGTTACCCCTGGACCCCTGGGTCCTTTGCCTATTGTTCTTAGTTTCACATGTCAGGATTGCCAATTCTCTTGAAGAGAATTGCAAATATGTTTAGCAGTTCTTCCGTAGCTTATTGTTGTAGTTTTGCAGTTCAGCCTGTTTTGCTGTGGATATAAACCCCCTCCAAACAGGTTGTTCCCCACCTATGAATCTCTTGTTGAATCTCATTCTCAACTTGTCAGTCCAGTCAGATCCAGCCTGACATCTTGCAGTTCTCTCAGTTCCCTCAGTACTCTCAGTCCCTTGTCACCCTCTGTATACTCCTCAAGCTCTACGAGCCCGAGACAAGTATTGGGTTACAGCCCCATCTCAGTCACCTTGCTTACCCTTTGGGGATAAGACCCCGCCCGTGACACATTTCAAGACTTAATAGGATGACTACAGTGGTTAGCCACATGTACACGACCCAACATATCATATGCAGCCTCATACCTCGCTAGGTACCTTACCAAACCGACGAAGAAAGTGTGGGAAGAAGGGATAATGGTGATTACCTACCTTCGATCCACTCGGTTACATGGTATTCGTCTCGGTGGCGAGGCTAGCGATCTAGCAGGATGGGTTGATGCCAATTGGGCAGGATGTAAAGACACACGACGATCAACTACTGGCTGGATCTTTATGATGAACGACTCACCGATAACATGGAGTTCAAAAAGACAAGCTACAGTATCGTCGTCGACAGTCGAAGCAGAGTACATTGCGATGGCTGAAGCAGCGAAGGAGGCTCAGTGGTTGAGAGGACTACTGAGGGAGATAGGCTACGATCAGCTAAATCCTACTGTCTTAAATTGCGATAATCAAGGATCGATATCACTAGCGAGAAGACCTGGTACTCACCAGAGGACAAAACATATTGATATTCGACATCATGCTCTTCGAGATCTAGTCAGTAATAAAATTATTGAACTAGAATATGTCAGCACTGTCTCCCAGAGAGCAGATGTACTCATGAAGGCTTTAGGTGGACCAGTACATTCGGTGAATATGTCAGTGATACAGGTAGAACCACCAAAGAAGAAAAACATTGGTTCAGTATACGTGACATTAGATGATGATGAAATCATCGATTACGATTACTCTGATTTCGAGGATCTAGGAGATCTATCAGGTGGTACGCACACGCAATGGTACCAGAGAGAGAAGTTGTACCAGAGAGAGAAGTAGTACCAGGGAGAGAAGTGGTACCAGAGAGAGAAGTGTGGGTAGAAGGAACTTCAGAGAAACCCACCGAAGATACCACTGAAGGGAAAGTTCTCGTGAGCCAAAATGTAAAATTTTCAGGTGTACCTAAGAATGTGAGTAATTCTAAGATAGGTCAGAAGCCACCGGTAGAACTTAGAATCGTTAGAGAGATGAAAGAGAAGGGACAGAAGAGAAGGGGAGGACAACTACATAGTGAGAAGAGAGAGAAAACTAAATATTTCCCATCTCCAAATTGCGACCCCTCATTTCATAGTCAAGGACGTCCCTCACGTCCCCTTCCCACGCCACCATTTCATGGATCAAATCGAACAATGGGGACGACACCCCTTGTCCACCCCGGGACAAATACTCCAAAAGACACCGGGAATAGGAGATGGTCGCCATCAATGTTCGGAGATAGAATGTCATTTTCGGAGAAAATTCATAAAGTCAGTCTAGAAAACGACAGATTCAATAAACAACGTACCCTTTCTCTCCGACTCTCGCCACAGCCCAACAAGAAGAAACCCAAGTCGGGACATGTTGATATTCAAGATAATAAAAAGAAAAAGAAAAGTTTTCCGGCGAGTGGCGATTCTATGAGATATCGTCAGCCAGAACCACGAAGGAAATTCATCGATTCTTGGAATTCTACTATTAAACCTGAAGTTTTAAGAAGTAGACAGGATAGAAGGAAGTTCAGAGAGTCAGAAATGAGTGATAAAAGTGGAGAAAGACGAAAGGTGGACATACCGTTAATTGGAGGTAAAAGTGATGAAGTAAAAGGAAAGATAGAGAAGAGTGAGTTGTTAGTAGTAAGTGGTAACCACGTGTCAGACCGGAGCCCCACAGTGCGGGGCCCCACCAAAATTCATTTCACGATTTCACCTACCACTACTACCACACACATAACTCTCAACATTTCATCATTACTACCTTTTACATCATCACAAACCTCGCCGTCACCATCAATAAATCGTCCGGGACTACTGCAGAGTCGTGCATTGTCCCGTGGGGGAGTGTTAGCCGATAGAATTGGGCCAGGACGGCCGAACCGCCGTTAGAATTACCCCTTCCGTCAAATATTTCTCCGTTCAACTTATCCTCTGAACTTTATTCGATTGTCTCTGGTTTAATGCGAGTGAGTGGAATGTGATAAGTATAGAGACATGTAGAAATGATGCATGCTCTTTTTCCCCTCTGTATTATCATCTAATTATAAGCGAAAACAACAATGACCCACGATTGTACCTCTGAGTTGTTTGAATCCTGATCATTCACAGCTACTATTGTCTGATCGCCTCACTTACCCCTGCTGAAGTAAGAAGGCGGACCCAAGTCATCAAGTATATTCCGCCCCTCTGACATGAATCTGCTTCTGTCTAATGTCGTGCTTGTTCCTCTAGCCGGGTTTGCTCTGATTTGGCTAATATATCCAACCAAACCCTTCTGGCCGTATCCATAGGTGGAGAGTTGAATTGCAGAACTCCCCCTGAGGATGGACCTGGTTGACTTTGCTGCGTTGAGGAGTATAATGAGTTATCCCCTCCCTCATTATCGGACAAGATCCCCATATTGGCGCTCCCTGTGAAGCCTGATGTTACAGAAGTATAGTTCTCGGGAGACATGTGGCTGTATCCCCTTGCTTCTCCAATTGGTATGGACATCTCTGCATCTTCCTGCTGATTATATTGTGTGTGTCCGTAGATATTATCAATGTCCTGTTGAAAATGTGACTGTCCCTTGGAGGGCACAAATGTGGATCGTGCAGGTTCAAGAACCATTGATTCAACTTCACGTTCCTCTTCTTGGTCGACATCCGACGCGGCTTCTGTGTCATTGAGGTCCTCGAAACGTTGTAAAAAGGGTACGTATTTGAAAGCCTCCAATTCTTCTTTCAGTGGCGGGACTGTAGTCACAATTGTATATTCGGAATTCCATCCAGTGTATTCGTAGGTTTTATAGAGGTTTTCACGAAGTTTAGCACCAAGACCAAAAGTCATCTCTCGGGCCAGAGTTAGATGTTGTCTACGTTTTTCACCCTTTCCGGATTCCCACTCACTTCTGTTGATGTCAGCATCACCTTCCTCATTGAGATCTGTTCACACGTGTATACAAAAGACGCTCACTACTTGAGAGTGAAGTCATGAAAGGGATGATAGAAATAGGGACAGAAGAATGGAGAGTAAGAATATACTGACAGACAAGCAGTGAGGTTTTGAGAATTGAGTCTAGTCGCATTTATCGTACTGACATCGGCTTCATTTCTTCGATCTGTCCATCTTGCCGTGCTGGTAAGTTGCTTCACCATCCTACTTGTAAGTTGTTCATCTCTTCCCATAAAGTCCTCATTATTCAGAAATACCATCATGACCCTTTGTGTGGATGACGATAAGACAGAGTAAAGATGGGCAGAGAGTTTGACTCACACATTCCAAGGTATATCAGCTCCATCAGCTCTAGCATGTAAAACAGAATAATTAGACTTGATCATTTCTTCTTGAACATGATCGACCGTATTTGTTGTCAGGGTTGTAATCTTACGACTTGATCTTCTTGAAGCTCTACCGCCACCCTCAGTCTGACTGAGGCTAGGAGCCGTTAAACCCATATCTTGAAACGGCTCAACCAACCTTGAAGTATCGGTTGGGTTCATAGGTTTACCTTGTCTCTCTTTGAACTCTCTACTTAGTTCTATTACCATGTCATGACGCACGGGATCAGTATAGACCGTGTTCAAACTTAGAATCCTGAGGGCAAGTTCGACACTGGCATTGGCATTGTAGGTGAAGCAATCAGTGACCTCATTGGGAATCACAGACCGGTTTGAGGTCTGTTGAGATCTTGAAGTCCTAGGAGATCTACCAGACTTGACAATGTGTCTTGCAGTGGAAGGATTCATTGTTTTGATCTTGAACTAGTGTTTATTATGTATGTTGATGTCTCTGTATGTGTTTATAGAAAAGTAATAGGAAAAATAGTGAGTGGGGGGTCTGAGGTGAAGAAAGCGGGTCAAAAGATGAGTTTTATAATGGAGACGGGCAGATATCTTGAGAACATCATCTAATCTCGATTCCTTTGATTAATCTATGTGTCTGCTTCAAGTGTTGCAGGTGAATACTCCGCTTTACGCCCAACACCCCGGTTATGATCTTTCAAACAACTCCTCCGCCTTCCTCATGATCGGACTTGTTAGCGACATCTTCTTTCTTTCACACGTCTCGTACGTATCGGTTCCTTTGTTGTTGTGTAGCGACGCTACGTCAGTGCATCGACCATCTCTTCAGAACCGCGTTCACACCTCGAACGGTCCCACGGCTGAGAAAAATGGGTTTGATGACTCAGTAAACGACTTTCAAACTCATACATTGTGTCAAGACGGCTCTAGGTTCTCGGGAGACAAGGCCTTGCTACTTACTAGTGCTTAGACGATCTATGTAGTTCAGACAGAGGGGAAGATACATTCTTCGAAGAGATAACGGATAGCTTCGAATAATGTATCTGCTGACTACACTCAGGGACTCTCCAACCATAACTCCGTGGACCCTGATCTCCTAATACCGACCTGGCAGTCATGTTCATGACACATTGCTGTTCAGATATTGTCGTTTGTTTGTTGATTTGACGACAGGATGGGCCTCATGTGTGGCGAATAGGAGAACTCACATTGAGATAGCATATATACTGTATGACACATTGGACAACATTGGCAAGTGTGTACATACACTAAATACTGCTATACCAATTAGTACACGTATCAGCCTAACACCGTTTGTATGGCTTTAGAACGTGAATTGGTGTGTGGACGTTTGATTAGAACTCAGTACCAAAGACAAAACGAGATGCATTCATGAGAGACCAAGCGATGAGGATGTGGTTTGGGGTTAGAAAGGGTACAATGAGTTGCTGTCGGATCATCAGCATTATTTTCTCTCTTTTCTCAGCAAGAAGGAGCACCTACAAGAGCCAATGGACGTGACATATTATAATATGACATGTATTCAGTCCCGCACCAAGCATAATCCTCCGTTCCACTCATCTCTGTAGCTGTCTGACGCCTTTGTTCAGCTAATTGACTAACCCTTGATTCCTCAAGAAGCATCTCCCAGACTTTATCTTTTGTTATTGGCGTTCCAGACTGAGTTTTTTAGGTCGTCGCCATAGTTGTTGGAGGAAAAATATACCCATCTCCCTCATCTGAAGAGAACGACATGGATCCGCTCCCTTCTGAACCTTCTCCACCTTGCCCATAATTCCTGTCAAGCTGATAAGTTTGCTCGTTGGGACCCTCCCATGTCACGGGCATGCGGTCCGGGCCCTGCTGATCGTATTGATCAATTTTGTAGTCTTCAATGGTCATGATCGCATAAGGTTGCATTGGATGCTCTGGGTTTAGTGTTAGGGGGTGAGCCTGTACTTGACCCCCATCCCACACATCCGCTTCATTCTCTTGATCACCTTCACTCTCTTCATCCTCTTCATCCACAACACTTTCCAAGGTATTGACTGTACCGAAGACATATTCGTATATTGCTGAAATCTCTTTAGGGAGGAACGTCGGTATCTGATGCTCATCATCAACAATTGGGAAGGTTCCATGTAGAGACATTCTCAGTTGATCACCATAATCATAGGTCATTGTGTAAGCCAATTTAAGATGTTGAGTTGGTGCTTGACCTTTTCCACATTCCCATAAAGTCCTGTATATATCAACTTCATGTTCATGCTGTGGGTGTATGTGCAATACATGAATGCAGCATGATGCACAAAATCAAAAATCGTAGTGAGCATGGAAGGTGGTGTATAGGTCACTATATTAGAAGATAAGGATCTTTACAATACTCACAAGCAAGATTTGAGCTCATCACAAGCTGTATGCATATCTTCATGACTCATCGACGGTAGATCAGAATTCTGATATGCCCAAAGAGCAGTATTGGTCAGTTGATTGACCATCCTGTCAGTCAGTCAAGTCTCATCTTTGTACTTTTGTTCCAATTGCTGGATTTCCAAGCTGTTGTGATTGTATGAAAGTATGACAAGAGACGTGAAAATGCCCATAGAATAACAGGTTTGACTCACAAATTCCAGGGGATGGTGGTCCCATCGGCTCTTGCGTGCAAGATTTGATAATTGACCTGTATCATGTCATTTTGCCTTTTGTCTTCAGCAATTGAAGCACTCTGTGATACTCTGTGACTTGACCTTCTCGACCTTGCCGAACGCGCATTGCCCCTTGTTCCGGCTTTTGTTGTGCCCATGTCTTGAAATGGCTCTAGCAACTCTGACCGATCCCTCTCCGTTATTTCCGTACCCTTCAAGTCATATAGGGTATGGGTCAAAGCCAACACGGCCGGATATCGATTCACATTGGAGTTGGACGTGTTGTATGCGAGTACTGAAAGTGCAAGATTGACACTGGCGTTGGCGCAATATTGGGCGCATTCAGTGACGTTTGCTGCATATCCACGACTGAGGCGTTTATTTACTATTCCTGGTAGGGCTTTCCCGGTGCGGTCTGTTGTGCCGACCTTAGCAATACTAGCCACTGATCCAGAGGAATGTTCCATTTTGAAATTCTGTTTTGCTTTCTGTGGTTCTGAATATTTGTGCAAAGTGGGTGAAGTAAAAAGAGAAGATGTTGGCGGAAATCGAAAACATCTTGTCATATTTGTATGCACGTCGAAGAGGATGAATGGCGTGTTGTGTTGAAATGGGCAGTGAAGGGAGGGAAGATTAGAAGTCTGTGTGAGATATTGAGTCCGCTCGATGATTGCGCCATAGTTGATCATGTGTCACACATTAATCCTTTGAAATCATTTGGTGTGTTTGTGATTCATCCCCTCTTGTTCCTTTCTTCAAGTCATCAATCTTGGGCACCTGAAACGTTTTCATATCGTATGTCACGCCCTTCAACAACATCGACGTCAGTGTGTTTCGACTTGAAGGAAAAAGGGAAGATAACTTCCTTTCAGCATCCTGGTCAGAGTTGCATCAGGATTGAGGGTTGACTGAACAAGTGTTGTAGGTGTGAGTCATCTCTGAGGGTGATACGGTTTGGGCATAGCGTACACGGAGGGAGAGGGAGTCTTGCTCTCTCCATCATTCACCAGTAACTCTTCATTCACCATGGAGATCTTGTTAACCGATAGGATTGGCCCAGGACGGCCGAACCGTCACTAGAAGATTACCCCTTCGGTTGAATATTCCTGCGTTCAACTCATCCTCTGAACTCTGTTTGACTGTCTCTGGTTTGCTGCGTGTGAGTGGAATGTGATAAGTATAAGGACATGTAGAATGGATGCATACTCTTCCCCCCCCCCCCCCCCCTGTATTATCTTCTAATCATCAGCAAACAACCATGTCATGACGCACGGCATCAGTATAGACCGTGTTAGCACTGAGCACCTTGAGCGCGAGTTTAATGCTGGCATTGGTATTGTAGGTCAAGCAATCATTAACCATTTGTAAGTCTTCTGGATTTACAGGAGTTTTGAGATCCTCACAGTCGTCAAAGTCCTTGGAGACCTGCCAGACCTACCAGTGTAATTCAAAGTGCTTGTGGGAGGATCCATCATTTTGATTCTGAACTGGTGTAGATTATATGTATGTGTTGATTGACTATTCCTGGTTGAGGAACGGTAGTGAAAAAAACTGACAAGAGAGTGTTCCAAGGGATCTGGGTAAAGGAAACGAGCGAAAAGACGAGGTTTCCAAGGCGGACAGACCAAAATTTAGGAAGTATGAAACAATCTCATTCCCTTACATAAACCTGCGTGTCAGCTTCAAGTGTAAGAAGTCGATACCGCGCTTACTCCACTCAAGGCGCATCACCCCGTCCATGATCTCCCCCCCCGGGGGGACTTGGTAGCGCCTTTTCCCTTCTTTCACACGTCTCATACGTCCTTGTTCCTTACAGAGTATGGCTGGCTACGTCAGTACATTTCTTCAGCGCTCACCCAGTTCTGGATGATCATTCGGCACCAGAACACTGAGTCAAAAAATGTTACATCAGCATATCTTTGACTCAACCCCAAAACTGCCTGCTTAGCATTCACGATGTCATGATACCACCTCATTTCTTGCCGTGACCGCAAAGTGAGCGTTTCATTCCAAAACACATTCCTAAACACATTCTTGGCTGACTTCGAATTCGAAGTGTGAGACCTAACTTGATGATTATAAATCAGTACTTGGTAATGACGATATTGATGCATTCTCACCGGATGAGAAGGATAGATAGAGGCCTACCTGCATCCAGCCCCTCACCAAGTATGATCCTCCAATTTGCGCTCATCCCTGCACTCGTTGGACTCTACCTCGCACGCTATGATCGAGTAGCCTTCGATTCTGCGAGAAGCGCTTTCCAAACCTCATCAGTTCGAACTGACGTCATAGACGGAATCTGCCCAGTCGGCACGGTAGGTGTCGGAGGTACAGTATACCCTTCGTTGTGCACCCAAGAGTATGGCTGGGGCATGCTTCCTTGAGCGTATCCTCCTGTCTCCGGGTAAGTTCCTTGAGAGTTGTGGACGTTTCCACTCGGTGTCTCCCATGTCATCGTCTCATCTTCATCAGGTCTCCGATTTTCATATGAGGTAACCTGGTAGTTTTCCGTGGTCATGATAGCATATGGTTGTTGTGGTTGTTCTGAATATGATGGCAATATGTATTGAGCTTGTACTGGAACTTCATCCTCTGCCTCTTGAATTTCTTCCAGGGCATCAACTGCAGTATCAAAAACGTAATCGTAAATTTCGGAGATTGGTCTAGGGGCGGCCAAAAACACCTGTGTTTCATCATCCACAATGGGGAATTTCTGATGTAGTGTCATGCGGAATTCATCACCAACACCGTAAGTCATCGTGTATGCCAGAACGAGATGCTGTACAGGAGCTTGACCAGATCCCATTTCCCATCGAGCTCTGTGCATGTCAGCTCGGAGTTCAGGTTGTGGTACTGAAAGAGAAGGGAAATCATGTACAGATTGAGACACAAGTCTTCAACAAAGTGATTAAAGCGGAGGGAGATACATGGACAGTGGGGAGAGAGATTAATTACACCCACAGGGAAGTCTTGAGCTCTTTGGACATCTTAAGGATGTCCTCCCTAGTCTTTGTTGGAGCTTCCTGTTTTTCGTATGCCCAGCGAGCTGTGTAAACAAGCTGATTGACCATCCTGTCCATCAGCCAAACCTCCTCTTACTGACCAGAGCCCTGACGCTGTCCACTTCCACCACCTCCCGCTGGCAAGAACAGAGTACGGCAGGTGATATGGGACTTCGTAGAATGAAAGAAAAAAACCGAACTCACAAGTTCCAGGGAATTTGGGATCCGTCCGCTCTGGCATGCAAGATCCCATAGTTCACCGTGATCATGTCACTTTTCCTCTGATCAATATCCGTCCCTGCTACTCCGCGACTCGATCTCTTCAACCTTGACGACGAGCGTCCCGTGTCTCTTACGACGGCGGGTGTGGTACCCATGTCTTCAAAGGGCACAAGCAGCCTCGAACGATCCCTCTCCGTTATTCGACTACCATTCAAGTCATACAGCGTCCGGGCCAAGGCTAACACGTCTGTGTATCGTCCCCGATCGTACTTCATCGTGTTGTGACCGAGAACGGCAAGTGCGAGATTGACGCTAGAGGCAGAGCAGGAATGTGAGCAATCAGTGACGTGCTTTTCATATTCCCGACCAAGACAGCTGTCCACAATCCCCGGCAAGGCTTTCTGAGTGTTTTCAGTTATGCCAACTCTGCCAGTATGAGATGTGTTTGTTGTGGAAGAATTCATTTTGAGTAATGTTTGGGATCTCTATTGCCTGAAGAATTGCGAGTTGTGAAAGAGTGAAAATGTGAGAGAGTATGGAAAAAAGCAGGGTGCAGTGAGTGATATTGCCATATTTGTATACAGAGCGGAGATGAAGTGATCTGTGTATCATGTCAACTTGGATTAGAAAGGAGGATCAATTGTCCATATGGATTAGTAGGTCCGCCCGACTGTCATCCTCGGTAATTATACTGCACGTCACACATGAACAGATCCTTTGAGATCAGCCGGTGTGTCATCATTCACGTCCTTTGTCTGTCCACCCCGGATCTTGACGCCCGTGATGGTCCACCCCCTTGACATGCGTCACGCCCTGCACCGATTTGATGGCCGCTAAGCGATGAAAGAGGAGAACATACAGGAGGATATACGGACTGTAGCTTTACCGACCCCGTCGTTCTCTCATGTTCCGATCTCCGCCTCCTAGTCCTCCAATGGCCCAAGCGTCCTCGATGAGTTTCACCAGACCCCACACCACACTCCCGGCAAAGATCAGACTACTCAAGACCATGTTGAGCTGTTCGTGCATCCCTGGCCAGATTGATGGATGTCGATATCGATTCGGTGTCCAGCCATAGAGATACCATATCCCCATGCAGAAGTATGCCGTCTAAAGAGTCAGAATTGTCAAGGTTGTCACAGTCATGATGAAACGTACCGTGGTCAATCTGCGGACGTCATTGGAAGTCGTACGGAGGGGATTGTGACCAATGAGAGACATCCAGAGTTGGGCCAGACATGATGCTAGGAGACGAATTTCAAATCGTCCCGCTAGTAGGGGCCAAAGACTGCCTGTTAGAAAATTCGATAAACGGGCAACATTGTGCTGATGATTGTGATAGAGTAAACGGCGAGTGTGCCATATGCTATAGTACCTTGTACTGTCATGCGGGCGAGCCCGAGATAGTGGGCGAAAGGGGGGCTGGGGAGGGAGAGGTA